TCTACCAGATCTCCAGCCCTGCTCTGTATGTGTGTCATGGCATACCAGGAGTGTCTTCTACTACAAGCCAAGTCCAAAAGTGAAGCATCCACTTCTCTTGAAACAACTGATAAACCAAACATCACACTCTAATTTTCTGTTAATAGTCTCTGTTACTATCTTGTGTCTAAAAACAGATAATCAAATTTTTTGAGAAAAAAAAAGAAAGATAAATTTGGCTGTAGACAATCCATGCCATGAAAAGCTCCCACAAATGCTTAGTTATAACAAATTAATGTGCCTTTTGCATGACAGCTCAATCATTCATAAATGTAGTTATACCATTCTGCATCATATTTAAGTAAGCAAGCTTGACATTCAGCAAATTATTGCCAACTCCACCAGCACACTGTTTTTTCCGGGCTTAATAGGAGACCTGCTTGAAGTCTGAACTCGTCATTTCTATTAGCTTGTGTGAAGGCAGAAAGTCATGTCTTGTGTAGTGCTGATAGATGGAATCAGCACTGATGGCAGGAATTAATCATATTGCCTGAGGTTGGCCGACTATTGGTGATGATGTTGTTGACCACTTGGCAATGTGTTCAACATGCTCTGTGCCCTCAAACCAAACAGAATAATCTGGGCAAAGCTGGTGAGCCCAATATGTGGAAATAGAGCTCCCCAAAAGTGGAAATAACTTTTCAGCAGACATATTCACAGCCTCAGCTGTGGCTAAGCTTTGTCACTAGGCTGAATGTTCTGTGGTTTTTTTCTTTTAATTCAGAAAGCATGCTGCTTTTCTACAGCTGGGTCAAGCTATCAGTGTTCCCCATAACAGATTATTTGTGATCCCATGGCACACTCATGCTTACTCTGGATAAGCATTATGAAACTGATCCAGGTTAAAACTAACCAATTTGGCCAAAACCCCCTTTAGTACAGGTCAGTACCCAATACAGTCAGCTCAGCAGCAAAATCAGTGCTAGCATGGACTGTGAGAGTAATTAGATGGGACCGGTCCCCATCAGTTTTACCAGTATGCTTTTGAAGTGCTTCTACTAATCATTGGCAGAGCCAGCGTATCATTTTCATTAAGCTTTAATGTCACAGTCACTGTATATGGATCTACAGTCCGGATTACATAATTATTATTTGGGATGCTAATTAGAATTAAGTATCTGTCAGTTTATTTATTGAGTAGTGCATGTTTTAAAATAATTTATAGCTGATTTAATAATGTTAAGTGATGAGGTGCAAATGTACAAGCTTCATGCCATGAATAGTGTGAAAGTGAATAGGTTTTCTTGTTCTGACATACTGAAGAGCACATGCAATTCTTCTCTGTTAGAAAAACTTTTTAAACATGCTCACCAAAATACGACTTTAGTGTCTGCCAATGTTGCATAAGGTAGGACATCTATTGAGAGTGAGAAGAATGTTTTACCGTGTTTTGTCTGGTCGTGTGTTTTGCCGATTTTCAAGGAATCTAACCAGATCCATACATTCACAGTGATGATTCCAGAAATATGGCTTGCACTTTGAGTGTTATTTGCTCAAGTTCACAATAACTTTGTTATGTTGGCTTATTGCATCTATGCAGAGAGATTGCTCCTAATCATCTAACAGCAAACACTGAAAGAACCATCTAAAATTCACCTGTTGCTACTTCAACCTGCAGATTTTTGCCAGCAGGAAACAGTTACATTTTCATTACGTCCCATTCTATGAAACTTGCTGTCTACTCGGCAATTCCCTCACTCTTAGCTTCCCAAGGGCACACGTTGCATGTGCCATCAGTCTCAGGCAGGTGAACTTCTTCAGAAATGCAGTAGTGATGTGCTGATTACAGTTTCTACATCTTCTTACCATTAGTAGAATAGTTTTATAGGGAAGTTGTAGCCTGTGGCTGCAACCAGCATGTTTTTAATAGACTTAATACAAAAGAAGCCTCAAACTCGTACCCCAAATACTGAGCCTGTAACATCTTTTATTCTGAAAATGTTTTGTGTCCTGATCTAACTGTTCATGCATTATACCACTAAATCTGCAATTTACCCCAGATTTCACCATTCTATCATGTCAACAACTCTTCTTAAGGACTAAGAAAATGTTAAAGAGTAAATAGTGCATAATACAAGAATAATATGCATAATTGTGCAGTCTTCCATGATTATCTGTGATCATAGTAAAAAGGATATGGAATGAAGAACAGGAATTTTACTGTTGAAATAAATAAATGCAATATTCCAAAACTACAAAATCCAGGATCACAATCAGTGTGAAATCCTGACCAAAAGCTTTTGATCTGTGGGATTGTGTACTACCCAGGCCTCTGCCATGAAACCGTTTTCACAAACATAAAAAAACTTGATAAACTTTCTTTGGTAAACCCTATACTGCTTCCTACTAGTTTCCGATATGGAAGATAGTACTTTTTTATTTTTTAAGGCATATAAAGAGAGAAAGTACAGTCAATTCATAAAAACTTTTGAGTGGCATGCATAGAGATCTTCATAGAAGATGGAGATCAGGAAATAAAGTGCTGAAGATCTACAGAATCCTTATGAAGCTCAAAAATCACTTTCCATTCTCTAGGAAGGGGTCCTATTCACATGCACACAAAATAGTAATAGCTTTAAAAATTAGACTTTGAAAATCAGTATTGTATTTAATTGATACCCCCCCCCCAAAAAAAAAAAAAAAGACAAACCCAAAACAGAGAAGGAATACTGAAATCAGAATAATTGTGTTGCAATGAAACACGTACTGTACTTGGTAAGAATGTGTCATTATGTAGATAAGGCAACATTTCCTAACAACTTAATTTTCTGGATCCGAAGGGTGTGGGTTTTTTGGTATATCAAATCATGGCAGATTTGTGCTACTTGGGTGCTACTACAGTGGTACTTGGGACCAAGGCTATGTTCAGCGACTTGGTTGTTAATGCAGCACCTTCTCACTTAAAAAAAAGGCACAAAAGGGATGAATTGACTCATACAACTGCTTTAGGCAGCTAAACAGACCAAAGACTAAGTGTAAACAGGCTGACTCCTTCTTCAAGTGGTCAAACCCCTTTATTTTCATAGACGGTTATATTAAAACATCTGCTCTGCAAAACACACCTTTTTAGACCGTGCTAAGCTTCTATAACCTCAACAATTAAAGAACCTTCTGGTTGCCTGGTATCTCATGGCTTTATCTTGATCTTCCTTTCCCTTTAGAACTATCTTTTTTCCCCTCAACTGGCAATTTCAAGAACTTGCCATGAGCTGAAGAATTCATGATCAGTCTTTAAGACAACTGAGCATGAAGTTTAAAGTAGTAAATTAGTGCTTAAGGAATTAACTTTGAGAGTGTCAAATATAAAAATTGAGCCAAATACAGAGTAGACAATATTGTGCCTTGCAGGTATATTTAATGCAGATGTGCATATTACGATGATTAGTTGTACAATTAAGTCTCCTACTGATCACCACAGTAATCTGCATCACAATCAAGAAAGTAACACACATACTAGTTGCAGTCAAAAGGAAAGAAATCCTGTATATGAAGGTTTCCAATGTATTTTTTTAGAAACCTGCCCTTGAAGATCCTTGCAGAAGCCCCTGGCATACCCACTAAATCAATGCAACAAAATTGCCGACAAAATTATGGTTTAATCCACTTGGCAACAAAAGGGTCAAGTGCCCTTAAAAGAACTCAAGCCTGCAAATTACTTATTGAAACTAATAGGTTACTCTTCAGAGAATTTTCACCGCAAATTTGTCTGTAGGCTGCAAGTGCTTTTCTAATGCAAACGTAATCTATGAGAAAGAAAAAGGGTAGGCCACCAAATGAAAGAAAACATTTATTGAATCAAAATCAATACTTTCCTTTTAATATCTACAAGCCAACACTGAACTGACTTTATTCAAGAATGAACACAATGTACAAAAAAAGTATGTCTGTTATAAAAATATGTCAATTTTTTTTTTCCGGGCTATTGAGCTGAAAACATTTTGACAAGTGCAAGATAGGTTTGGCAAGCAAATTTAAGCCGCTATTACCAATGACACAGTTCAAATAATTTTGTAATCATAGTATATTTAAGACTCATTGATAAAGTGGCATTGGAACTTTTGACCCCTAAAAAAAAAAAATAAAAAATGTATCACTGCACTGCCATGTGTTTATGCACCCAGACAATTGAACATCTTGATCTTCTGTAGTCACGAATCAGTACCTTTTTCAGTGAAGACTATCCAACCTAATTTGAACTATTCAACCAGATAATTGACACCTACCACTGGAATACAACTTACGGAAGGTAAACTACATCCACGGCCCTGTATTTTGTGTGTTGTTTGTGAACTAAGAAAGAAGAGTAGGTAGGTTCGTACATGTTTAAATCAACCTGACAGCTGTTACAATGTGAAATCAAGGAAAGGATGGAAAAAGAATAAAGAATCATTTATGACACCAATCTATATTTATGAACACATGCGTGTTTACATATAACAATGGATCTGAGTAGGCTCAGTTATGTCTTATTTGTTTGGATGGGGTTTTTTCACATAAAAATTTAACTCAACCAGGACTCAGATCATTGACTTCTCTCAAACCATCAACAAGGAGGGAAAAAAGGGACCATTTACAGAGATAATCTGAAAACAGTGCAATATTAAAATACAATTTCACAGCGTGTGAAAGAAACATGCTTTGGAACCTGAGCAAAAGGCGTTTTACTGACTTAGTAAAAAGTCACCCTGTATGTTGTTTTCATTGGCATCTGTTCTGCCAGATTCATATGTTGCTCTTAGCAACTTCCATGGCCCCTAAATATTTAGTACACAGAAACTGCCAACTACTTAGAGAGGTCTACTAAACTTTTCAGCTAATATTGCAGGCAGTCTGACATGCTGCTACTGGAAATGACCATACAGCCTAAAATTAAGAAAAACTGTAGAAAGAAAAAGCAGTCAAACATGATGCTTTTCTTTTTAAATAGACTAAAGCGCTTCCACAACACTTAGATACGGTACTACACTGGTTTACAGTCTCAAGGCCAGCTCTTTCAAAATAAATATACCGAACATTTACATCAAATGCCTCATGAATGCAAGCTCTCTCTTTATTATTTCAAGACCAGTTGGATAAAAACTGAAATAAAGACATAACTCTGAAGCAGCTAAGTTACAAGTCCTTTTTTAGAAATAGGCATGACTTGGTGCCACAGCAGAATTTTTCACCAGTCTGCAGCAAGCAATTTATTTTTTTTTTTTTCTTCTAGCACCAAGCAGGCCACCATACCAAGCAACCTCACAAAGCATGCGGTCATCTACTCTGCTGATTTTGTATGAAATAATCATTTGTGCTTGCAGGTCCCAGACCTTTCAAAAATGGGAATGAACAATAGATGATTGAAGACACTGATCAGAACTCACTCATTTCTAAAATTTCTAAAATTAATTGAGTGGAGAAAAGATTTGAAGACTAAAAAGCAAAAGCAACAGAATGTTGCGCATTAGTATTTGTGAGGGATGAGGGAAGCTAATGTTGGTGCTTCAATTTGCCTTAAAACAAACAAAAAGCTAAACCCAATCCTAAACAGTTCTATGTCCATGATACTGGTAGAGGCCAATGTGTGCATGCCACTAAAAGGCACGGTCGGACCAATCTGATAAATGGCATCAGAGCAGAACAGCAACTTTTCACCGGAGTAATCACAAAGGGTGAACAATGAGCCATCACTTCTCTTGTCATGAGCACAGAAAGCAGTCACCAAGGCAAAAAAGGGGACACAGGAAACAAGATACAGGAACTCACATAAACCTGGAAGACAGAAAAGATACATTAAATAGAGTTTTGAACGTTCTGAGTGACCATTTTCCTACTGTAACATTGCTATTCATTGATTTAACACCGTACATTTTATGCTTAAATGGATGGAATTGTAGCAAAACCAGTACGCTAATCATATCACAAAATTCTTCTGAAATTTGTTATACAACTAACTTCACTTGCAAAGATTTTCCTACAATATCATCTTAGGTATAGAACAGGATAATGGATAGACTGATGCTGTCAGAACAATCTCTTGTTCATTGTGTAAAAAATTCACATGCTTACACAATACTGAATTTTCTACTCATAAATGCATTTTAAAATTGGGCATCATAAAGACACAGCTATTTATAGGGAGCTAATTATGAAGTAGTACGACTGCTCTTCCTACTACTGTAATAGCACCTAAAAAGCATAGTGCAATACTTACTGGAAAGGTTTCCCCAAGGTTATCCTGCCTTTGTATCTACAAGTTGCATCTGAACATTTGCAGACATCCCACCTCCATAGCCTCCTTTGGACTGCATTTGGTTCTGAATTGAGCTGACCTGGAGACAGAAGGGAAAGGGGGGCAGAGAAAACAAGAAAGGCAGTTAGTGAGCTATGGTGTCTTCTTGCTTCCAATTTTATTTCTTGTTTAGGATTGGTTTTCAGGTGCTCCTTTACCATTAAAGCTACATTACTTTTGCATGAGGACATGTGCAGTGTAGGCTTGCCGGAATTTTCACTTCTGCAAGCAGCTCAGCAGGAGAGATGGAAGAACTGGTGCTGAGGCAGAAGTTTCTCCTCTCTCCCAAAGAAAAAGAAAATGGGCTGATTCAGGCTTTCATTGACCCACTTGATTACTCAAAAAAAAAATAAAAATCAATCAAATCTCTTACTGGTATCTAACTCCACTCCACCTGACAAACTATACTTTATCTTGTTATATGGAAAATGGTCTTTGCCAAGTATGATAAACCAGAGAAGTTGACACCATTACATTAAAAATATAATAGACAACTTACAAAATACCTGGGTAGTATCTGCACTGTATGGCTAACTTCAGATAATCAAAAGAGGACTTTCTAAACCAAAAAGGTGGTTTTGGTTTATGGTAGGTTTTTTTTAATTTATCTATTTACATAACGGCATACACTGCTTTCCTTAATTGCTACTATTCCTTTAAATTGAAGAGTATTTATTGTTTAAATCATACTCAATCTATCAACTTCCCTGGAAATAGCTTATTTGAAGGTATTTTTACCCTGACGCAAATACATACATAAAGAACCCCTCAAACACACAAAGACATGCACATCCCTCCATGGCTTTCATTGCCTTTATCAACAGAAAGGAAGGGAATCCATAGTTCTTTCCTGCTTGTGTTGCATGAGTCAAAGTAATCATCTCCAAATGCCTGCAGGAAGACAACTCCAACCTTAAAGGTTTGGCCTTTTTCTCTCTGCAACCCAGAGCATACATAGCAAGTACATAATGAGCACAAAATAACATACTCACTCAAGGCTACAGCTTCTGAAATGGACCTTGCAGCAAAGCCTATGCCTGCAGGGCACCACTTGCAATTATTACATGTATGCTCCTTCACAGAGACCTCAAAACATCACTAGAAAGCTCATTAAAACAGCACTGGAGAAATACTTCCAGGTAACTTGCATGACATTTTCCCTGTCTACAAAGACAAAAGTAGTATATTCTTTTCCACAGCAAAGCAAAACACATGCACATACACAAAATGAATCATCACAACTCTTTCTTAAACACTGTTTCTCAAACCAATGTGAAAAAAAGAGCCTAGTTTAGGATCTTTGTCTTCAACAGCATTGCATATTGCAGTGCTGTGCAAAAGTTCTGATTTTTATGTATTTAAGCAGTGCAGTGTAAAACCATTTTCTACCTTGGTGCTTTGCTCAAATAAGTGATACAGCTGCAGGAAAGCAATGTTATATTCACATTTTTCTTCAAGGAAAAGTGTTCAGAGCCAATACTTGGTCTGACATCAGAGACTACAAACTCAGTTAAGACAGTGTGGAGAAATGCAGCCACATTCATGGGGTGGTGTTTAAGAACTTCCACATTTCACCAAGCTGGTCATCTTCTTCACCAAGCATTTTCTATTGCTCATTGGAACAAAAGGAGTTTGAACTTAATCTTTTTTTCCTCAGAAAATAATTAATCTATATGTAAATGTATTCACAAGAATGACTTGAGGATGGCATTAATTTAATCTAAATGAAACCTGCATCTAGTGAAAAAGAGCTAGAACAACATCTCCAGGCCACATCACTTTCCAGCCTGACACCTTGCCTACATGACTTTATAATGTTGGAGAAGAGCAAATCAACACAAATTGTAAAGCTAAAGTGTAAATTTTTACAAATACCTCTTCTAAAGGTTAGAATAATTTCTCTGGTACTTGAGTCACACATATAGATGCAGAGGCTGTTACACTTACAGAGAATAGGGCAAATTAAACTTGACTGCCTTAACAGTTCAGTGGCTATTTTGTATGTGAAAACTTATATAGGAGACGTACAATGTTAAAAACACTGGGCAAAAAGCAGGTCGAACAACCGTAGGCTTTTGAGATGGTATTCTCTCTGAAGCATCCTCCTTTTGAGGCAGTCTGCGTTACAAGAACAAGCACCATGAAATCCAATTATTTTTTTCTTTCCCAAAGATGCCCATGCCTTCCTTTGATGATACACATCAGCAAGGTTCTTCTCTCTTATGTCTAATTTAAAGATTTTGGAAGGGGAAGAGGATTGCACCAATTAAAGATCATACAATCTGTTGTGCTGCTTATCTGTCTCATTAATTTCCTTCTTTCCTTTTCCTTCTCTCCCTTTTAGAATTAGGAAATAGCACAGATGGTCCTTGAGAATGAAGAAAAGGGAAAACTAAGAAAAGGACGGAATATATGAAATCAAAGACTAAACTGAAGAATATGAAGCAGAAGAAGTAAGCGAGAGATTTCACCATGGAATATTAAGGTAAAATAAGAAAGTGATGGGAATGAGAAAGAATCATAGAATCATAATGGTTGGAAGAGACCTCAAAGATCATCAAGTCCAACCATATACCAGATGCCACCATGCCTGCTAAACCCTCTAAACCATGTCTTGAAGCACCAGATCTAAACGTTTTTTGAACACTTCCAGGGATGGTGAGTCCACCGCCTCCCTGGGGAGCCCATTCCAATGCTTAACGACTATAACAGTGAAGAAGTTCTTTCTAATGTCCAGCGTGAACCTCCTCTGGCGCAACTTGAGACCGTTTCCTCTTGTCCCATCGCTAGTTACTGGGAAGAAGAGACCAACCCCTGCCTCACTACAACCTCCTTTCAGGTAGTTGTAGAGGGCGATCAGGTCTCCCCTCAGCCTCCTTTTATCCAGACTAAACAATCCCAGATCCCTCAGCCACTCCTCATAAGACTTTTTCTCCAGGCCCTTCACCAGCTTTGTCGCTCTTCTCTGGACACGCTCCAGCAGCTCCATGTCCTTCTTGTAGTGAGGGGCCCAAAATCGAACACAGTATTCGAGGTGTGGCTAATCAGTGTGGAGTACAAAGGGATGATCACTTCCCTAGTCCTGCTGGTCACACTGTTTCTGATACAGGCCAGGATGCTGTTGGCCTTCTTGGCCACCTGGGTACACTGCCGGCTCATGTCCAGCCGGCTGTCGACCGACACCCCCAGGTCTTTCTCTGCCGGGCAGCTTTCCAGCCACTCGTCCCCAAGCCTGTAGCATTGCATGGGGTTGTTGTGACCCAAGTGCAGGACCCGGCACTTGGTCTTGCTGAATCTCATACAGTTGGTCTCGGCCCATTGATCCAGCCTGTCCAGATCCCTCTGTAGAGCCTTCCTACCCTCAGGCAGATCAACACTCGCACCCAGCTTGCTGTCATCTCCAAACTTACGGAGGGTGCACTTCATAATAGTACATAGAAACAGTACCTAGCGGGCTCCTACTGTTTAAGTGTACCTTTGCCAAAGGAGCAAGGCACTCTACAGATAAGGCAAACAAAAAACCAAAATATTTCAGTAGTCAGAAAACTACTGTACTTGGAATCATACAGACGTGTAATGAAGAACAACGCTGATGAAAAAAGGCACAGAGCAGATAGTGGTTGAAGAATGAAATTTATATGGGAAAAGCTAATGAAATTGCAGGAGGTCCTCCTAAGGCATTCAGGAGAGAGAAGGCACAAGGAGGTTCGTGAAGGAGTATAATGTCTGTACTATAAAGGAAATCAAGCAGCAGAAAAGCATGTGGAGGTTAACACCATAATCTTGGAATTTACACTGCAAAGAATGAACAAGGAGACTGGATGCAATATTACCACAATATATCACCACAGGAGAGGTGTGAAAAAGCAGGGATTTGTGCTTCTGAAGAGAAAGACGGGGAAAAAAAGGATTATGTTTTGCATAAAGGTCCTGTCTGTCTGGGATCAGAAAAATCACTCTGGCCACTGATGCCACACGTTATCCAAATCAATAAAGTGAGAGAAAGAGAAAGCTAGTTATGAGTATTCAAAACGAAAAAGTCTATGTAGAAAGACAATAATTATTGCCTACTATCTGGAGATGAATTGATATTATGCAAGGCAAAGATGAGGGCAAGCAGGGGGAAAGTCTGAGGTGAAAGAGCAAAGCTTCAGGCCATCACCACAAACCTCACAAGGCAGCTCAGCTGTGAGAATAAGGAATGTCCTCACAAGAGGGACAACAAACATTTAAAAAGCAAAAAGCTATGCTTTAAAAAAAAATAAAGAAAACTCATTTCCATTTATAATGGCTTTAAATGTTAAAGTAATATGTTACATTAGTAATTAGCTTTAACTGAAATTTATCAAGTTTAAGCTGTGTTTGTCCATTTAACTCGCTTACAGATGTTTTAATACAAATCACTTCCAATCCATTATATTGTTTCTGGGAAAATATAGTATATTGTTTGTCACGTTAGATTTTCTAGCTTTGCCCTTCCCCAATATATACTGAGTTACAAAAGTTTTTGTCTGATCTCAATAAACTGTAAACTAGTTGAAACTACAAATGACCTCACTTGCCTACATTAAAACTGTGTCTTTCCTTTACAGTTTTGTTCTCTATTCTCATACCTTTGACAGAACTCTTTCTTCTCCTTTGTTAAGAACTATTTTTCATCATTTTCATCTCAAAATATTTTTTCCTTTAAAGAGGATTATTAAAGTCAGGAAGTAATTTTCATCATTATCTACATACAACCCTTTTCTAGACTGCATGTTATTGACCTTAAAAACAGATTGACATTTCACATAAATATGCAGCTGTACAAAAGAAATCTATCCTCATGAGCTGATTTTCAGTATATATCTTAGCCTCCACTTTCTGAGAGATAAAAATATTTATTGCTCCTATCCTCTACAGGAAGCCACAAAACCTTGCCTGTGACATTGTTGCTTGCTCTGGAAATAATTCACACTGCAAATAGGACTGCAGAGTATAGAAAAACCTCAACAAGAACACCCAAAAAATATTTGTGTGCACCATAAACTAAGGTAAGTTAGACTTTTACATGAACTATATTTAAAATAGCTTAAAGCATTTAAGGTAAGATGCTTTTAAAAGTTTTCTCCAAAATACCCTGTATTTTCAAATATACCTCTATTTGATTTCATACATGCCATCGCAATGAATTTTTAAAAAGTATTCTACACATAGCCTGTACAATTTATACAGCATCTACTACATACTGTCAATAAATACAGGAATTTTAAAAATTATATTCCATAATCTTGAATGCAAGTGTTTAGGACTTGGAATTAAGATGCTAGCAGGTTGTTCTTCAGTTTTATAGAGATTCTTTGTTATAGCTGAGAGACTCATTGCTTTAGCCACAATGTACATATATAGCGTTCCTGTATTCCAAGATGAAATCTTCTTCATCCGCTCATGCTTACCGAATTCATTCCACTGAATAGGTCTCCTGATCCTACATGAGCTGTGTGAACAAAGTTTGTTGGTTCCCCAATCATGCTTCGGTCAATCCGCCGTCGTCTTTTCTGAAGGGAAGGTAACTGAGAGTCATTGAAAAGGCAAAACCAATGTGTGTCATACATGTAAGAGTTAACTGTCCATAGGATATTTCGTACACTGAAAGATATTTTCATAGAGTCGAAAAGCAGAGTCCAAATTCTCAGGTTAACCAAGACCTTAGTAGTACTGTCCTTTGTTTTTACTTGGAGAATCTATATAGCGAATCATTCAACCAGCACTGATAACACTCCTATCATTTAGGCCAACAAAACATTAGTAAATAACCTTACTACATTCCATGGTTTATTAAGCAATATTTGCAATGTTTCATACAGTAATGTCTGCCTACATTTGTATTTAAATCATGACGTGACAGATCAAATTTGAGGTTTAGTCATTCAAAACAAGAATTGAAGGATCAAAGAGCATTAGTATAGTCTATGAAACCGCTAACTTACAGAATTGCTGATTTGCAAGCCATGGGAACTTATGTTGCTATTTGTAATATACTTCATGGTGACGTTCAGAACAAGGCCTTGAGTTGGATCAGGGTTAGTCACAGTCATATCTTTACTGAACTGCATATACTCAGATAACTTCCAGTCTGCATGGTTGCAGAGTGTGAGCTGAAGAGGTGCAGTGTGATAGTAAGGCAGGATGCTGGTTCCTGTACCACGAGATAGAAGGCAAGAACTGCTTCACTTCTGCCTCCCCTTTCTCAGAGTCACAGCTTCATTTTTCATTAATGTAATAACATGCAAATGAAAAAACTGGAGGCAGTAAGGACTTCCTCTAATTAAAGCTGCTTGGGTTGCCTGCCCACAGCTAAGCATTGCATCTAAAGGAATAAAACAAGAAAACCCTATCCTCATTTCTTAGGCAGAGCCAGGGAGCTTACACAGAGCAAACCATGCAGTGTACAGTCACGGTATGCCTGTATCCTGTATTTGGAGAAAAAAAAAAAAAAAAAAAAAAGAGCCACGAAGCACAGTATGAATATCTCAATTTAAGTTGTGTCATACAAAATACAGTGTTACAGCTAAGACACTACCTGAGCTGAATTAAAAGCTTCCCATCATCTTGAAGTCTACTCAGTCTCATTTTTAAAGGGATCTCCATTTCTAATCTGCAATGAGATCATAAGACCACCCAGATTCGAGACATGAAGGTACACGCCCAATGAGTTGGCTAGCTGCTTTTGAAATACAGCTACAGATTAAATCTTTACGAATCAGAGCGCACAGCTATGAGAATACATCATGGGGTTCAGCCAGCAAGTAGAAAACACATTTAATTCTTTCCTGTACGTTTTCCCTTTTACTGAAACCAGATGTCAGTAGGTTTCAGTACCTTCCTGCATCATATTAATAGCTAGAGTGAGGAGAAACACACAAAACACTCCCACAGAAGTAGCAAAACACAATGACACAATCTATGCCAAAACTATTAGTGAATTCTCTACTCTCCACAAATTTGACAAGATCAACCAAATAAAATAATCATAGCTATAAAAAATCTTCATGTAGTTTGAGGGCTTCCACAGAGAAAATGTTTATGGAAATAAACTGAGATGTCTCAATTACAGAAAACATTAGTAGAGTTCATAGAGCCATAAATAGCCACAACAGAATCTATTACCATGTCCCATCAATGCATTAATATTTCAATCTGGAAGTCAAGCTCACTTACACATACAGCAAATGATTTCTTAAGTTACGCGTGATATCAGCTAGTAAAGCACATGTGACTAACTCGTGGGGAGAGAGACCCCACATCAGGTTTATGTTTCCACTGGATGAGAACTGCTCATCTGACATGTTCAGGACAAGGAGCATCTCCACCAGGTGTGATGATCATTTTAAATGTGTGTTGCCGTATTTATACAATATAGTATTGTAATATGCTGTGACTCTGACACAGAAAGAAGCTCTAGAAAGCTGTATGAAACACACCACTCCAATTAAAACACTTAAAATTGTTTCAGGTTTGCAGCAGTTGCCGCTCTCTCCCTTTTTAAAAAAAATAACAGCCAGAGTCAGATTCATTTATATGTCTAAACAACACATCAGTGACTTCTTGGTTTTAGTAGAGTTTTGAAATGCAGGATTTTGATGCAGAGAAAATGCAGACTATCTCAAAGCTTTTGGAATTTTTTGTTTGTTATTTGTTTTGCAAACAACCAAACTCTTTTCTTGGGTAACTCAACTGAATTTTCCTCCTTTACTTGTTGCTAAGATCACCAGCATGCCAGTTACAGAATTATAGTGCTGAATCTTGTGACTGTAAATGATTCTCTGCTAATCATCAGCTAGTCAACCAGTAACCACTAGTTAAAGAGAATTGCCATCAAGCCCTGTTTCTTATCTTAAGCGAGTTTCTTATCAGAGGCCATCAGCCAGCTGCACCCTGGCATGTGCCCACTGATGTGATCTCCTTGAAGCAATGGAACAGTATTTAAATGCCCTGCTATATTAAGACCACAAAGTAGTTCACTCTGAAAGCAAATCACTGGGGTTTTTTGCTGCACTCAGTTTGCATTTACATTTGTGTTTTACCTTGGATCACGAGCATGCTTTTGAAGCAACTTTGCCAGTCCCCATTTACCATCCTTCAATTTTAAATTCAGAGTAATCTAAATCAGTGTATAAATTAGCCTTCTTTTGGGTAAAGCTGAACTGGAAGACCAGCTGATGCACTCCCATTGCTGACAGACACTGAGGCCAACACACCAGAAGAGCCAGTCTCAAGCAGTCCACAAAAGACACCTAATGTACATCATGGTTCCCCAATACCAACTGCCCTGCTCTACTACATAGCTGCTCCTACTAGGATGTGCCATTTCCGTAGACATGGCCTCAGTCAGAACCCAAATGACCAGTTACCATGGGTGAAGGACATGGGGAGCACTGTAAAAAGCCACCTCTTTTGTGCGGAACGTAACACAGAAGACAGGAGTAGGGGAGTGCGCCTTGAAAGGTTACAAAGCTTTTACAGAGGACACCATAAATATTAGCTTTGCCAGGATTTTATTGTGAAGTTGTGTTTTCTGAGGCCCGTACCTGTAAGAATACATGCAATACCATTGTTCTATAAACAATAAGAATCAACACACAGATTGACTCTTCAGTAAACTTAGTATATTTAATTTGAAAGAAGCTGAGAAGCAGCACATTCATCTCTTACTGAAGAAATGAATTGTACAATTCTGCTCATTTCCCTCTGTGTATCACTTGTGCCTTTCCATGCTAGTTCCTAGTGTAAGGCGTGTGCCTCAGCTGACCTAGCCCAGCGAAAATGAATTCCCGCTAGCCTTCATCCAATGCCCTAAACTCTGCTTGATAACATACCATAAATAATTAGCCTTAGAATATATATACACCACTAACCATCATAGTAATGAGGTCTGACTATAGAGTGATCTATAGAACAACTGCATGTTTATGATGCTAGTGGAAAGGAGTCCAACATACATGCACCTGAGTATTTGTATCATCTAAAGGTTTGTTTTAAAGATGTTTCAGATGGAACACATGTATGTCCCAACTCTGGCAGCCTAACTGCAGTGAGACCCTATGTCCTCTATCTCTGTTTCTTGCGGATCTTCTCTTAGCAGGGGGGGAGTGTAAGAAAGCTCACATTATGATTATGTAACGTGTCTGTTATCTTTCTTGTTAGTTTGTGTCAAGTTACTGAAACATTTGGTATCAATGGGCAAAAAAGGTTTAAAATCTGAAATGTAGTATTTGGCTTCTTTTTTCTCTCCCTTGCCTTGTCCCAAGGCTCCTTCCCTTTTACTAAGCGGACAAGCGGTAGCAAGGAGCACAACAAAGTTGAGATGAGAGGAAAAGAGCTGTAAAGGGGCCTTGGAAGTGGAATATGAAATGTCATCATTTAATGGCTTTATTTAGTTTGTTCCCTTGACAAAAATCTGCAGAATTTGAATTGCAAAGTACAGACCAGATAATCTTTATGCCACAAAAAGAATAAACAATCTTTAAACAGAAGTAGAAGAGATGCAGGTCTGTGTGTTAAACGTTTGAGAGGCATGGAAGCAGTCTGAGGACCCATCTCAGAAGCTTTGCCTTGAACATATTCTAGATGCAATGAAACTAGATCACATTTCAGTTACCATAGTAATGAAGTAAAGAATTGATGTCTCTTCTATTCTTAATCTGCAAGTGATTCATTGCACCCACACAGGGTAGCATCTCTTTCAAAGCACAAGATGAGAATTCAGAAAGCGACAAACAGCTGAATCACACAGAAACTATTTTAACCGTGCAAGGTTTCTGAAACTTTTGAGAAACAGTTTTAAACTTCTGTTTAAAAAAATTACACTTATTATGTATTCAACCCACCCTTTAGCAAAGCTATGAGCATTTTACTGAAACACTGTTTTCATAGTTCAAAAAATTACTTATTGCAAGAAATTCAAAACTGTAATGTGTTTCTTTAAACAAATAATTTCCACTGATGGAAATAATTGCCACTGATGGGTCCAGAGGCATGTAAAGTTTCATTTTTATTCCCCTGTATTTTTGGCTTGCAGGGAAGAAGTGATCTTTTTTGACTATATCCAATTTTTGTCCAGAGGCTGGGCTGCACTTCTGTAGCTCAAACCACTTCATAGTGATGGCAACAGTCCTGAATTAGACAAGTTCTCTGCCTGTACATATACCTACAAAAAAGAAAAGTTTTGAAAGTTTTTCTCCTTTGCATGGTTATGCATCCCTCTCTGCCTTTCATGACATCCCCTCTCAAAAGAAGAAAAAGACATGCACAGTAACATCAAGGTTATTATTAATATATTATTACCAATATATTATCAATATATTGGAAAATATTTGAGTGATGTCACTTACATCCTAGCATGCTGGTAATTATCTTTCTGGAAGCTGCTAAAAGTAGAAGTCGCAAGTGAAGTCACAACAGAATATCATACACAGGTATCCCAAAGCCACGTACCAACCTACATATGCTGTGGATCAAAAGCAAATAAATCTCTTCCCTTTAGCTGGTAGAAAAG